CTGTCCCGCAATATACGCTGAATTCTGAGGACTCTCCTTATCAATCTTGCACCTTCCACAATGGGTTGCTCGCGTAAACGGACAGGACATGACTGCGACAGACTTCCCAAATCCACCTTCGCTTTTATAGCCGTGGTCTCCCATCTTGATTACACAAAGTAATTTACTATTACTACTCTAAAATATGAATTACATCTGTAATAATCACATACATGTAATAGAATGTTAATAGTTCATTTCCCTTTTTTAAGGGAATGACCTGTATGTATCTGTGTGATATCAATAAAAGGATCAAGTGCTGCATTATCTTTGGTTACAGTGATGTTATTTATTTATGGTGAAACAGTGGTGGAATATCGCTGTTGCTTTCGTATGAATGACGCGGGCATACCTGCGTGGCCGCGATCTAATCCTGTTTACATAAAGTAAACCTGCTCCCCAGCAGGTTTACGCTTACGGCTCTGTTGCTATGACAGCAAGTCCCGGATGGGCTTCGGGGAACCGAACGATCCAGGATCACGCGAAATCGTCAACAATCTAATCCAGCTAACTCACTTAGCGCGGTACGAAGCACAGGGCCCTGGGTTGAGTCACTACCGTATTGACTTTGTTATTGTTTGCATTTCTGTGGTGTTGCTTTCAGTCCATCAGGAGTGAACCTGAGCTGATCATGTTCACTTTTACTTTTACTCAAAGACAGAAGATTTCATGTCAGACTGGAAACTATTCACTTGCTGTCAGGGATATAAAAACAAGAAACGTGGCAACTCTGACAGAATAGTAGCTATGGCATTGGCATTGTGGGCAATGTAGATGCAATTAGAGCCTTTTACAGTTTGTTTCAGCTAGGCGTTTTCCCTCTGCTAATCAATATACTGTGTTTACAAGGCATGCTTCTGTGAAGCAGATCAATCACAGCTGTTTAGCTCTGCGTGCTCGCAACATGTAGTTACATTTCAGGTAAAGTACACTCCAGGCTACACTGTAAGTTACAGCTATACTGTGGCTTAAACGTTGTGTCATCAAAACATACACGCATGCAAAAAAAGAAAATAAAAGCTATCATGATGTCTCAGCTGGTAAAGACAAACGGGGGGAAAAGGGGAAAGTGCATAGAATCACTTTAAATAGTGTTGAAAACACTTTGTAGAAATAATGGAGAACAAGGCTGCGATAGAACTAAAGAAGCACCTTGAAACTCTTTTGTATTTGTTGTGTAACATTTGTGTAAATAATGCTATAATACCTCAGTTATCTCAGAAGACATGCACAGAAGAGAACACTGATGGATGGCAGAGGCCATGAGATGAAGAATGGAAACAAACTTTGTAATTAACTCAACACATAGTGCTGGCATGCAGAGGGCCAGACATACTGACAAGTTTAAAAAATGAAGAAGAAAAAACAAGGAGCTGGGGAGGAGGAGACATGACTGGAGGATGGATGGAAGTAGGTCAGAAAGAGAGACTGAGAAGAGAGAGAGAAGAAATGAAGAGAAAGTGACAGCCAAAGTTCAGATGTGTCTTTCATACCTTACTATCTTAGCGGTCTGTGTGTGCATATGTTTCCTTTTGGTGTGTGTGTGTGTGTGTGTGCACAGCCACATGTTCAGTGTGTGTGTGTGTCATTGTGATTGACAGCTCCCAGCCAGCAGCTTGCTCCAAAGCCAAAGACTTCATAATAAACAGAACAGGGTTTAATTTACTCCTTCAGGCAGAGTGGTGGTGCTCACTTTGCAGTCTGCTAGTACAACACACTGCATAAAATATCTTTCTCAATAAGTTATTTGATATTGAATTCAGATTCAACGTTGAATCGCTGTTAAAACATGAAATATCAACATTCATTTTTATATGTAAAACAGAATACACAAGAGATCCTTGATGTTATCTGACCTGTATACTTATGACAGAAGAAATTGATGTTTGTGTTCAAGCTCCAACAGCACTACCAATGCGTTTGCGTCTAAATGCTATGTTAGCCTCCATTTTATCACAGAGTGATGACATAGTAGATAATGATGGTGCTACCGTCATTCTCAAGGTTTTCACGATGGGATCGTTGATTGGTCTTTAGGCCTGTGTGACAGCTTAGCAATCGATTTCACAGCAGCTCTCAGCAATCACTCACAGTCGGTTAGGGAGACCAATGGTTGCTAACGAGTCTCCAAGCCTGTTTTACTGGGGCCTTACTAATACCCAATGCTAGCTGCTATATTATCCGAACATTGCGTCAATTGTTAATGTTCATTTAAACTTTTTGGTTTTCGGACCAGACCAAGAAGCTTAAGGTTAGTCTGCTTTCTGCATTTCAAACAAAAGGAGTATTGGCCAGTAGAGGCACCCAATTGTGTCCAGGTTTCAATCATCTAGCTGTTGACTTGAGGTGAGGTTGAAGAATTTGAAGAAGGAAGTCCTCTTTCTTCATTGTTCTTTCGTGCAATGTACAGGTACCACTGGCAGCTAAACAGCCCCAGCCCATGATCCTACTGCCGCCATGCTTGACTGTTGGTACAGTGTTCTTAGGTCTGAAAGCCTCCAAACATGCAAACAATCAGGGTAAACAGCTCCTGGGTTGTTCTTGAACATCCTAACCAATTTCCTCTCATTTGAGGGTGACAGTTTAGGTCTTCTTCCAGTCCTTGGCAGACTGGAGATATATCTGAATAACTTGTACCTACATAGAATTGCTTGTAATGATAATCCTGGAATCTGCAGTTGTTTTGAAATCACTCCAAGAGACCTTACAAGCTTATGTGAGTCTATCATTCTCCTTCTTAAATGTTCACTGAGATCCTTAGACCGTCCCATTGTTCAACCAAGATAGATACTATCTTGACTGTATGGTCGTATTAGTAGTTCTCCTTCTCGATTAATCTTTTTAACTGTGGTTATATAATGTTGAATAATCCAAACTATATCGGTTTGGACTGAAATGTTTGTGTTAATAATGGGATCCAAAACACCACTTTTTTTTATTACTAGTTTAGCTGAAAGACTAGAAATTAACATAACCAGAGTGCATTTTGTCAGCTCCATTACCTTGAGGTTAAATCTTGTGCTTCAGCATTACTACTGTGTTGTTATAGGGCAGTCCCATCTTCTAATTCATGTTTATGGAGACACAAGATCTACCCACTATCAAAATTTTCAAGTATTTTTAAGGGGTCACCATTTGCCACCTGATTTTTAAAAACCATCAAAACACTCCTGCTGAAAGCAACACAAACACACAACATTGGAATGAGGGATAGAGCGACAAAAGGAAGATGATAATAATTCATAATGTCACAGCTACTGACTTTACTGTCATTATTAGCTTCTGGGCTTTTGTTGTTTTCACTGCAACATGCAGAGTATTGCACAGTAATGGCAGCATTGTTACATTTCCCCGTAGGAATTGTGCACTGCTTATACCTTGTCAAAAAGGAAAATGCTTACAGGTTTTATTTTTTGGCAGTGAAATGATCATAAAGCCACAGAGTTAATGAGAGGTGGCTCGGTCCGCCCAGGTGGCACAACTGTCTAAAATCTGTCCATGGTTGGACGCTGACTTGGAGAGGCCCGTCGTCACGGCCACACCAATGACACGGCTAGATGTGGGTGAGCTTTCTGGGTGGCAGCTCTCATTCAGCCAATCAAGGCAAACAGGCCACGCTCTATTTAATGATTATCCCAGCATCTGTCCCCTATCTCTCATCTCAGCGTGAAAGCCAGCAAACACAAGTGCAAATACACTCGCAGGAGCTCAGTGAATCCCATCCAGCCGAGCAGCCCGATATTGGCTCGCATCGAGTAATTCAATCTCAACTTAATCAAATTTAGAAATGATGGCAAATGCTCGTGTGCATTATGAACAGGCTGTGTGCCCGTGATTCATTATATAGTTAGTGGAGAAGTGGTTAATAGAGGATGTGATTACACCAGCAGCAATTAATGCCAGTCCAATGAAATACATGATTACCACATTTGGAATGTAATCTCAGTTGTTATCCATGTCATGAGGAGAAAGGAAACCCAGAGATAGCCCTCATCCTGTTTACATTCTGTTTACTTTTACTTAGGTTTTACTGCTGCTTGACAAGGTACACTCGTTTCAGGTCCTGCATTAGCTTTGTGGAGAGGATCCCATCATCCACTACACTTTCATCCTCTCGAGGCAACAGTAGGGTTGGTTTTCACCTAGTCCCATTGATATCACGTTGCTGTTCATTTGGTAATCATCTGCCGAAATCCCTCTGCAGTATGCTTGGATGCTTGCAGCCACTCTCTAGCTCCTTTGCATTCGGATGCAGGTGATCAATATACAACCTGCTTTCCTCGGCTTTAAATCACAGGAATGCTCAAAGACTCCCTGCAGGCCTGGATGGAGAAAACGACAGATAACACGGAGCGCTGGGCAGATGAATAAAACGATAAATGTCAAAGAGGAGCAAAAGCTGTTAGATAGAGGGAGAAGAACAACTGAAGATACACACTGAGAGAGAAAGAAAGGCTAATATTCTTGATTTATCAGCCCTGCAGTCTTAGAGATGAATAAAAAGAGGAAAGCTGTCTCCGGCCGCTTATTGCAGCCGCGGGATGAATGTTCGCGTTTGCTCTGTTTTGTCTTTGGTTAGGTAAAAAATGAAGTGTAACATCAATAAAAATGTTAATCAGAAAAAAAACAATGCATTGTTTTCACTTTCAATTCACGCATTAAAAAGAAGAAAAGAAGAAAGAAAATAATCCTGACATCAATCATCAAAATCTACTTCCTACCACAAATGTCCCATCGCTGCACCTCCCATATGTGAGCCTCTAATCTTACCTTATACCTGTACTCAAAGTTTTATAAAAAAAACACCCCTTTGAGGTCTTAGTCCTTTCTGACAGGTATGAGAGGCCTAATTAGACAAAAAAAAATGACTCTCATCCAAACAGTCTACAACATTGCAATTGTTGTTCCTTTGCTACACTTAAATAAAATGTCTTCACATTATTTCTTGTTTTTCTCACCAGGTGAGTGAGGTGCAGCCCTGTCACGCCCACAGCGCCCCCTTTCGGCCCGGACGGCACACCATGCCCCGGCGCCTATGAAAGGGTACCATGTCAGCCGGAGCATGTCTCAGCATTCCTCGGGTGGTGGTGGAGGAGGTCCCTGCCACTGCACGCCTGATGACTGTGACGGTCCAGGCAGAGACTACTACCACGGTCACAGCGATGGCCACTTTTACCCTGGGGGAGGTCCCGTTGAGGCCCTGGCGCTGGAGAGGCACCACTCCCGCTCACACTCCCATAGTCACTCTGGAGGAGGCACCTTTCCCCGCTCCCACCCCAACCAGCACCCACCTCTCCAGTCATTTGACTCTTGTGAAGAGTGCCTATCCTCAGGCCACGGGGGGAAGATGCACCGCATGCCCTCAAACATGATGGACCAGTTTGAGAAGCAGGTGCCCTTCCATCATGATGGCTTCCACACACTGCAATACCAGCGCACTGCCAGTGGGGGTGCTGAGCAACGCAGTGAGAGCCCTTCGCGCATACGCCACTTGGTCAATTCGGTGCAGCGCCTCTTTGCCAAGTCCCATTCCCTGGAGGCGCCATCCAAACGGGAGTACAACGGTACGAGGGGAGGAGGGGACTACAGGAGCGAGAGAGGTGGGGGCCACAGGAGTGGAGGGGAGGAGGGCCACTACTCAGGCCACCAGTCTCGCTCCACCAGGAGGAACAAGTCTCGAGAACGTAGCAAGAGTGGAGACTCGCGGCATGAGTCAGGCAGACGCCACCGCAGCCGGACAGCGGGCTGGTGGAGCTCCGATGACAACCTCGACAGTGACAGCAGCTACTTGGTAGGTGGGGGTAGACCGGGGTATCCCAGAGGACATGAGAGCCTGGATGCTGCCATTCAGGAGCTCACCATGAAGAAGCCCAAGGAACGAGGCGGCGGACCGGGGTCTGGGGAGTGCATGGCCTGCACAACAATGGCTCTGGTGGGGAGTGAGGGAGGAGGAGGACAGCACGGGCATCACGGTCACTCCCTGAAGAGGAGCACCTGGTCAGCCATGACAGTGAGTCAGGCTAGAGAGGTGTATCCTTCTACCAGAGGAGGAGCCTATGACAAAGCCCTGGTGCCCATTGAGAGCAAGCTCAAGGAGAGGACCTTCCACTATCTCCAGGTGTGTCTGTCCCTACATATCAGCAAATGTGTAATCAAATATATATGTGGTTTGGTGTTAAGCAAAAAAAAAACAAACTTATTTTTAAGGAATGAAAAGATTGTCTTGAACTTTTGTTTTTCTGTTTCCACTGTCTCAGACCCTTGAAGATTAGGCTAATTAGTCCGCTGCCATAACGACAACTATCATTGTGTACGGGACTTTATAAAAACGTGTCGACCATCTCACATCTTCTGCCTCTGCTCTCAGTCTGTGTTGCATCTCCATGTGTATATTTGACAGCCAGTACAGACACACAGACGCAGGGCATCTAGACAAGATGAAGCCTGCTCTTCAGTTATAACACAAAATCTGTCAATGCAGTGCCTTCTCACAGGCTTGTGGGGAAGTATGGGCTTGTATAGCTGTGCTTTAGAACATAAGTGCTGTGAAACAATCAGAAAACAACACATGTAGCACACACACATGTCAGTACTGGAAACACTTTGATTTAAGTGAGGGTGTTGCTTACCCACTTACTCGCTGTGAATTCATCAAAACTGCATAAACTACCTCCAGCTTTTCGTGTAAATTGTCTCAATTGGACTTCATACAGACTTTGTATTTGGAAGCTGGCAGGTTAAAGATGATTAGTGATCTGACAGCCTTGGACATTTACATTCTCCATGGATGGATTATCACGTCCACGAGATCAAGGCAACAATTTGCCACAGGCAAAGAATATACAGTACAAGTATACCCTGTATTATGCTTTATGCTTTATGCGTTATGTTCTAGACACCCCAATAGATATGATTTAAGGTATGAAACACATGCTTTAATATAAATAAATGGAAACATGCTGCCATGATTGGCATCTCCCCATGGCATTCTTTGGAGTATTTGATGTCTTTAAAGTTAAAACTCAGTCTGCCAGAAGGTTCCAAGGTTCAGTGGTGATAAGTGACAAACGATTTCGTTTTCTCTGCATTTCTCTGGCGAACATCAAATAGCCTTAACTATAGGAAATTGTTAAATATAATACACACGTTTCTTCCACAAACAATGTCAGAGAGTGAAGCCAACTTCCAGATTTCCCAGGTCTAATAGTGTTAGCACTGCTACACCACAACCAAGATCTTCCCCAGGAGGCAGGACTGTAGGCTCTGTCAGATGCTGACAGTTTACACTTGCCGACATGCTAAGTTGACATTTCTCCTATAGGCTGCCTGTCTTCTGTCTTTCTCCTTATTGACCACCAGACTGAAATTTGACCTATAGGCTATCCAGTTATAGCTTATGCTTTAATGTACTAATTGGCTAAACGTTTAAAAAAAATAGGAAAAAGTGCAGACACTACCTCACCACCATGTGAGGAAGGTGCAGAGCTGAAAAAATATAACATAGAAATCTAGTAGTGAGTGCACAGTGTATGTGTGAAAGTAGTAACCAGCAATCTCTCTGGTACTCCTTAAAGTAAGATGTCTTTGTCATCTTTGTCTTTGTCAAAGACGACAAAGACGGACTGCTTTGTAGAGCTTTTCTGATTGCTCAAGTGGCCAATCAGAAAAGTTTAGGTCTACAAGCCCGTCCTTAAGTTTCTAAAGTTTTACCCACTGAGTGATGACTGCTGGGGAGGTAAAATACCCATTGATTTTAATTTAGGCTTTGTCCCTCCAAAGGTTAATTGTTTCAAGGAAAGAAAAGCAACCATTGTCCCTACAATTTTGGTTTAGACCCTGGTTTTTCCAGTTGAATACACAAGTAAAGGTATTCAGTTACTCAAAATGCCATCTTCCTGCTATAGAAACAAACCTTTAATAGCAACACAGCCAATTTTTGTTTCAAAAGCTCAAGAAAGCAAATTAGAAGAAGAAAATACAATCAAAGATGGGTAAGATCCTTGTGGTAAAGCCTTTGGATTAATGGGGAAATTAACAAGAATTTTTCAAAAGCATAAAAAACCCTTTTTCTTAAATAAAGGTTTCAAAAAATCAAGTGAAAAGTATTTTTTCTTGGTTACATGTCTGCCTAAGAGGCCAGATGGACTCTCCTGGCATTTTGCTGTGAGTCAGAAAACAATAATCATCTTCACCCACCGTGTTATTTACCTGTCCCTTACAACAGTCGCTTACCTGCCTCCTGTCAACACGCTGTAGCTTGAATCTGCCGCATGCAATTTTCAGAGAACCCGTTCACTCATTTTATCTCCTAAAATGGCAGAAAAGGTTAATTAAAGACTGTTATTGGCTGTTACAGTGGCATCTCAGAGAGCACACGCACGCACACAAACACACACACACAAGCACGAGCTCAGAAACCTCCAGCTGTGTTGAGGTAGAGCTGCCATGCAGGCTGTGTTTCTACGGAAACAGCAGGTAGCCACAGGAGTCCCTGGTGTTTTTCCAACTCTCATCCTTTAGACACAGCTGAGGTCTGCTGATAGAGGAGACAGCGAGAGCAGGGTCGTCTGTGTGTTCGTGCTTTTCTGAGGACAAACCCCACACAGTTTACCCTGTGCTTTAGGCTACCATCACATTCTCACCTTAGGACACGAAATGAACTTCCCCTGCTGCAGCTTTTCTCGTATCTCCAGGTGTCACCGGTGGTTTGGGGAGGCGCGGAGAGACAGTATGTTGAGTGAATTGTGCCCAGCTTAGATGTGCCAGGGCAGGCCAGATTGATCCACGGCTTCAGAGCAGACAGCTCACTGGAGCTGCAGATATAAAGCTGTTCAGGTCTGTTTCACCAGGATGAAATGTCAGGACTAACAGCAGCACAGGTGCAACAACTCCAAATTGAAACTGCCTGAGAAAGCAAGAGCAGATATCATACACCCAACAGCTGCCTTTAAACTCTATTACTTGTGTATTAAAGGTGGCACTTGTAATAAGAGACTGGCAAATAATTTATATTGTAAGGTAAAGACTCTGCAATATTAGTAAGAGAATAACAACCATCAGATGATCCCCTGTGAATGAGCACTTAGCCATGAAGAGAAGGAAGAACTGCTTTTTAACAGGAAGAGACCACCCACAGCTAAGGGAGGGCCAGCCATCTGCGTCCCCTCCCTGTGGGAGTGAGGGGGAAGAAGAGAGTAGACACAAAGTTATTGAAAATTCAGATGCAGGTGTTTCAGGATCAACCAATATAGTACCTTAAGTTTATCAAAATCAGAGAGTTTCAGGCCTAATCTTAAAAGTACCCAAAGTGGAAGCTGAATCAACAACAGAGGGGTCTGAGTCACCATATGCACAGAAGTGCTCTACTGAAGGAAGACATGCAGAGTGTTGGCATGAAGAAAGAGAGTGCAAGGGACAGGCCGAGATGGTGGGAGATGATCTGCTGTGGCGACATAAAAGAGAAGCCGAAAGAAGAAATCCCATTTCCACAGGTCTGGAAAACCAAGCACCCTGCCTTTACAAACATTTGTGAAAGAATCATTCATTCTAAAGTGCTAATTGAATTTGATTGTGGTGCTTCAACAGGATGCCAGCACTGTAATAAACCACTTTGTGAAATATCTTCCCTCCTAGGTATTCCACAATCAACTGTAATTAGTATATTTGTAGGTGAAAACATTTAGGAACCGCAGCAATTCAACCAAGTGAGTCAGACCAGAGCGCGGTCGACACAAAGTTTGCCAACGTTCTCCTGACTCACTAACTGCAGAGCTCCAGACTTCCTCTTACATGGACATCAGCACAAAAACAGTGTGTCGGGTGTTTCACAGCATGGGTTTCCATGGCTGAGCAGCTCTTATGGTGTGATATTTAGGTGGCACTGTACTTCTATCCATATAGTGTAGCTGATAGCTCAGCTGCACATTTCTACCCCTAAGCTTTAAAAGGCTGATGGGCTATTGTCGTCACCCTGCCGTGCAGGCAAGTGGCGTGGACACCCAATGTTGTGAATGCGATAACTCAAGAATGAGCTTTCGTAGGATTATGAAATTCGTACTATAGGTGCAACTACTAAAAATCTCTGACAAGTTCGATTCTCAATGACCTGATTTCTGAAAATCCCCCAGGAGGCTGAGGAGTAGTACTATTTCATATTTTGGAAACTCTAGGAACCACAAGTAAGCCTGAACTGTGACAGCAAAGTCCTCTATTGGGGTAATATTGTAATATGAGGTGTTTAAGATACGATGGGTGCTGATCTTTCAGAACTTTGGATGTGAAGAGAAGGATTTTAAATTCAGTTCTGCATTTAATTGCATTGAAATTGAGCAGCCACAATGTGAAAAATATGATCTTTCTTTCTAGTCCAACTTGTTATTCTTTTGGTCACTACCTGTAGCTGTAGGTGAGGGTCAGGACCTAGGTCAGTCAATAAATCGACAGCCTCACTTTCATCCTCCTCTCTCCTCCACACAAGATTAAACTTTGAATTTCTCCATGTTACGACTGAGTATAAATTGGCTCTACATCTGCTGGATTTATGCAAACAGTCAAAAGTGAAGAGCTAAATGTAGGTTGGTTCACATTAAGAAAAACGCTCTACAAAGCGTTGACTAAGTAGTTTTTGTAGCACCTGGAAACATTTGATTTGATTTGATTTGATTGATTAGCATTCAAATATCTCAGTGAAGACAGAACAAAGATCTACCACAAAGCAAGAAAGCATGAGACAAGGCTAATCAAAAGGTATTAGCTGAAGCATTTGCTTATTACGCCAACCCTTTTAACAAAAGATCTTTTTGCATGCAGCTCCTGTACACAGGGCTCGAAGCAAATAATAAAACAAAGCAAAAACAAAACAAACAAACAAACAAACAAGAAAAAAAAACTTTCCACATGGTCAGTTTTAAAACATAAAACACATGGTCAGTTTTAAATCAGTTCAAGTATGCTACAGCAGTCCCTCTCTCGTTGCAGGGTCAGTCTACCTGCTGTATGTTATTTCCATGTGTAAAAAAAGGAAACATGTACATACAAGCTAATACTTACACAGGTTTCCTGCAAAGAGTCAGGACCGAGCAATAAATGCAAGTGAATCTTCGCAAGTCTACGGTCAGAGGCAAAGGGACATGTGCAAACTTTCCCCCATGGCGTCAATGCCAATCACAATGTGTGGCATCAGAACCTGATGCTCTCCGTTCCCTGAGCCTCTCACCTTCCCCTCAGCCTGTGTGTGATAGATATGAAATGATTAAAAAAGAAAAGAGGGCCGAGGGGAAAAAAAAGCTGAATATGGAGTAAAAGGAATGAAAAGAAGAGCAAAGCGGTGAGGTACAAAGAGTGTTAGAAAAGATGAATGCAGAGGGACCCAGAGACAGTAAAGCAAGCTCAGGGATAGAAAAGAGATAAAAGAGGTGATGGTAGCCAAGGGGCAAAGCAAGAAGAGGAGAGAAAGGGGCGTTTGAGGAAATGAGAGAGATAGTGGACGGCCACGGGGATCACGAGATTAGGCTGAATCATCTTTTAAGTGATGACCTTAAAAACACACACTCAGCTGGATGCCAAACCCCGGGGCCTTGGCTATGTGTGTGTGTGGGTGCAGGTGTTGGTCACATGCTCGTATATGAAGCTGCACCTGACAGCATTTACAAAAAAATGAAAACCAAAATGAAAGGCTGAGAGGTCCTTCGGCCAAAACAGCTGCTGTTAGTGTACGAGTGAACACACACATATATAAACACACATATCCAAGTGAGTGGTCCTCCACAATAGTAGCATGTTACATGCGAGGTTAATAGCTATACTCACGAGCTATGATGCTAATTAAAGCTGCGCTTGTCAACATAAGGGGTCACTCGTGGCGAGAAATACCCCTGTGACCTCATCACCTAATTCTGCATTTCTCATCAGCTCTACTGAGATTTTTCAGATCAGTTCTGGGTTTTGACTGTTACCGAACGCTGGTCCTACGCTGTCTACAGCACTGCGATCAGGAGTCCTGTAATTATATTTTTTATGTGTAAGGCAACATCAAGTTAGTCTTTAGACTTTCCTAACAAAGTAAATACATAATAGTCTATACATATAACGAGTTATTCATTAATTAGTATATTGAAGTATAATACTTGGACCATAAATATAAACTTTACTACATTGTGCTGTCTTTTATGGTCATGAAAATTTCTCCGAAGTGTTGAGCCGTTGTTGTTAGTTTCCTCCATCAACCTGTGCACAGCTCCTGACGGGCGCTAAAGGCTAAACAAAGATCAGCCCATTGTCACCAAAACTCTCTCTGTACTAGATATTTGGATATCCAAATGTCTGATTATCTGGTTATTTATTCACTTTATTTATATAGTGCCAAATCAAAACAGCAATTGCCTCAAGAGGCTTTATATTGTAAGGTAAAGACGCTACAGTAATACGGAGAAAACAATCAGATGACTCACTGTGATCAAGAAAAAACTTGCTTGCAGAAGCAGGCTTAGGCAGAAGCAGCCATTAGTGGCATTAGTGGGAGAGAGGAGGGAGATGGGACAAGAGAGGTACTGTGGAATAATGAATAATTTAATGTAGAGTGGTGTCTAAGCATATAGTGCCATTATTAGCCTCCTGTAGTTCTTTGTTTTAGGTTGTTGATCCAAAGACTGGCCAAATGCTACTTTAGCATTTAGCATTTGCCTCATTTCAGCACAACACACATTTAGAAATTAGCTGAGAAAATACCAGTCAAGACATCTTTCATGCTTTGTGTAATTTGAGACCAATAAAGCAGCTCCAGACTGAATCTCAATGCTGAGGTTGTTTGATTAGAATTTTTTTAATGTGTTGTTTTATGTTGTCTTATTTCTTCAAAGTAAACAAAAGGTCATTTTCAAAGCGTTAAAGTAAAAAAAAAAACTCATGTGTTTCATGCTTGACTTCGCTTCCCAACTTTGGAGTAGTTCCACATGATACCCACTCACTGAAGGGTTGCCTGTAATTGCTGAATTTGCAAAACTTCACTGACACTGTGATCTCTTCCTGGGTGCGCTAACGCCTTCGTGTATTTTACATTAGGGCCACTGTGAGAACATGTCAGCGTAATTCTTGGGGTTAATTTCATTGATTCTCTATATTTCTCTTCGTGTTGTCTTTAGTTTCTTGTCTTGACTGCACTGCTGTGTTTGTTGTTTTCCCATCAGAATCATTTGCTCGTCTGTTAAATTGCGTCTTCTGTTTCGTGTTTTTGCCACCACGTTCATGTCTTTCTCCCACTCCGTGTCGCCACTCCTGTCTGCTGCCCTCTCTCTCTTGTCTACCTGTTTTTCTCTGTTTTTATTTATTTGCTCTCCGTCTGTCGGCTTTTGAGCTTACGTTGTTTTTCCTTCTCTGCGTCAGTGTTTTTCCAGCTGTCAGACTTTCTCTCTCTCTGTAAGTCCCTTCATCCTATTCTCTCTTTCTCTTGCATCATTACTCGTGTATGCATACATGTGCATGTGAGCGTGTGTGCACGAGTGCAGTTGACTTTTCGGTTGTGTCTGCCCTCCAACCCAACGCTGTGTGCACGTGGGCCAGAACTGTGCTGCTAAATAAACCTTTTACCATTCGAGGTGTGAAATATTTTTCGATTAATTAAGAAATATATTTCTGTTTTGAGAAGCCTTTGGATCTTGACATCAGATATTGAGAAGAAACTGCAAACAGTGCGGTGACAATATCTCGGTGTTGATTAATTCACATCATGACTAATTCCTTTTCCCTTAACAGTGGGTGTAGAAGAGGAATGCATACTTACTTTTAACGCATTTAACTGTTTGACCTACTAAAACCATGTTGGTCCCACATGGTTGTTACATTTTTACTCACTACCTGTTGCAATTTCAGATCAATACAAGTTGGTCAGTTATGGTGACCGTGTGCATGTTTGGGTGGATGTGGATGTGCCTCAGGTCCCTTCAGAAGACTGGGGAGGTGGTTATGGTGGTGGCGGAGCAGCTGACAGCGGAGGGGAGATCCCTTGCCGTCGCATGCGGAGTGGCAGCTACATCAAAGCCATGGGCGATGATGACAGCGCCGACTCGGACACGAGTCCCAAAGCCTCGCCCAAGTCCACGCTGATTGCCCAGAGGGAAGCCTTCAGACGATCTATCAGCATGGATCAAAGGTCAGATGGCACAAATTCAGCTTTTATATTCATGCTGAAATACTTGTATTTACCCTCGACTCAACTCTCTGCTTTCAAAAACCGTAAAAAACACGTTTATTTGGTTTAGTTTGGTTGTCTTTTTTTTAAGCAGTGCAAAAGCAGCACAGGATATCAAATAGGAATTGCACAGATGTGACAGAAGTAAACAATAAAATACAGAAACAGACAGCAGTGGGATGACAAAGGGGAAAAAAACAACAACGTGGAACAAAATGCAGAAAAACAAAATAGCAAGTTAGTCCTAGTATGGACGGTTGCTGTTTATGCGAACATTTCCCCACAGGAGGATTTCTGCATTATGTTACTTTACAGCTTTTTTTGGTTTGCATTTAGAATTCATTCCTTTTCCATAACTTTATAAGAGGCTGCAGCTTAAATACACAACACTGTTTGATTGTGCCTTTAAGGCTCACTCTTTAAATGTGGACAACATTATTTTCCACAGTGTGGGTGAAAATACAAAACCATTGGATAATTTCTTCTCATAGCTTCATAATATCTTTTAGACAGTCTAAGTCTCCCTCCTTAGAAAAACCCTGCTCTCCAAAATCTTTATTTTCAGTTTGTAACATGATAAAAATCTGATGTTTACAAACACATTTTGGGATAACTATTAATTTCAGACTTTAAAAAGATCCTTTCAGACTCAGAAAATTCATGTCTGTTTAGTTAAAGTAAATAAAGGAGGTTTGATCCCTGTTCAATTTGTAAGTTTGTTCACGTACAAATAAACCAACAGTCTTTAATTTTATGGTGGTTTCATTTTAATGGAGAGAGACAGAATATCAGCCAAAAATCCAGAAAAAAACACGTTACATAAACTTTATGAACTGAAATGCATGTTATTGAGTCAAATAAATATTTGAAGTCTGTGTGTATGCTTGTGTCGAATAGATTACGATTAATCAATCATTTCTCAGCTTGTTATATGTCTAAAACAAACCTCTCCGTAGAATCAATTTCTTAAATTCCAACTTCCCCACCACCATGGGGAAGACCAAGGAGCTGTCAAAGCACATCAGAGACAAGATTTTAGACCTGCTACGGGACCATCCACAATAAGCATGTCAGGATGGTGACAACTGCTGGTGCCATTATTTGGAAATGGAAGAAATATAAAATGACCATCAATCAGATTCTGTCTGAAGCTCCATGTAAGAGCTTGCCTCATGGGGTGAGGATGATCATGAGAAAGGCTGTGGATCAGAACAAAACCACACAGGAGGAGCATGTTAATGGCGTGAAGGCAGCTGAGACCACAGTCACAAGGTGCCCCTGCTCGAGAAGGCAAAGGAACAGGCCCGTCTTAAATTTGCAAGTGAACATGACTCAGAGAAGACTTGGGAGAGAGTGCTGTGGTCAGCTGAAACCAAAATCAAACTCGTTGGCATCATCATCATTTGGCATCTGCTCATTGAGGGGGCAGTAGATTTATTTTTTTTTACTTTATTTGGCCTTTATTTATACAGGTATTCCTATTGAGACTCAATGTATGGGGCCATGTACCATGAAATCTTGACAAGAACCTCCTTTCTTCAGCCAGAACACTGACGATAGGTCATGGATGGGTCTTCCAGCATGACAATGACCCAAAACAAAGGAGTGGCTAAAGAAGAAGCACATTAATGCCATGGAGTGGTCTCGCGACTCTTCAGACCTCAGTCGTATAGAAGATCTGCAGAGCTTTGATTTAGAGTTTCTTTAAAGACGAGTGAACCAAAATCCTGAGCTGTGTGCAAACCTGGTGACCAACTACAGCATCTCACTGCTGTGCTGGCCAACAAGCGTTTCTCCACCAAGTACTAAGTCATGTTTTGATTGGTGATCAAATACTTTTTGGTTGATGTTCTGTCTCTCTTCATTCAAATGAAGCAACCATAAAAATGAGAGACTGTTCATTTCTTTGTAAGTGAGCAGACTTACAAATTTAACAGGCGATCAAATCATTGTTTCCGCCCGTGTAAATACTCTGGAGATTATAGATAGAAACTCAGTGACCCAGCAATGCCCTAATAGCAAGCACTTAACAAGTGGGTGATTCAAAGAACACAGAGGAAAATAAACATCAGCTAGGACGAGGCACACTGTGTTCTGTACACATGATTTCACACTCTGTGTGAAACTGAGTGAGTAACCCTTTTAAGACATATATAAAGACGCATTTCAGTAACATTCAAGCACCATTTATTTAGACAAATTAAGATTTTAGACCATAAACTAAATTATTGCTTGGTGGTAAACATCAGTAAAAAGATAACACCAGCGGATTTCAGTTTATAGGGAAAGAAACTGAAAAAGGATGTTAATGTTCTTGCATTATGCAGTAAATACTTTCACATAGGCAGCCTTGGGAACCTTCTCACATTTAACTGTAGCTCTGCTTGAACATCATAATAGCTGCTGGAATGTCTGGATTTTATTTTTCATATAAAATGAACAAAAGTGATGGTTCCCTAATTGGCATGGAAATGCACCATCACAGCACGGAAAATGACTCCAGCTGGCTCAGTCATGACACATGATGCAGTGAATTGTTATTTGATGGTTCACCAAATGGTGAGCTGTTTGTGTTGCAAACATTTTTTTTGATAAAAATAGCAACGCGAATGGCGGACGTGTTTACAGCCACAACAAAGCATCAATACTAACATTTATGCTTGTGTTTATTCCAGGCACTCGTGTAAACAGTGTACAGATTCTTACCCTAACAGCAGAACCACACCCAAGACCCACACCCGCTCCCGTAGCTACACCCGCTCTTTGACCAGCACACAGGTAACAAACAGCAGGGTGAGGCTTTGAAGTGTGTAAACCGCTCCTAGAATTGCCTGTTTTTCTACATAGATATGACCTAGGAGATCTGTTTTGAGACCTTCCTGTCCTTCCGGGTGCAAACATGAAATACGTAAGCCAGCGAGGCTGCAGTGCAGAACAAAGCAGGCACAGATGACAATGGATTTGACGTTGATTACATCAGATACGGCATGAAAGGCATAGATGGGATGAAGGTGAATTGCAAGGCATCTTCAGATGTCTTCAACTGCGGGATGGCTGAAACAGTGCATATTTTATGAGATGTTAATGTTCAGAATGGCATCAGTGGAGGCATTAGCTGATGTGGGCTGGCATTGTGGATGTCACCTGAGCTGCACCGAGCTAACGATAAGCTCGATTTGATCCGGTCATTCGTTTATTGAGGAAAACGATCCAATAGTGCATGTCTGTGAGGGCGTAAAGAGCATAATTTGAAGCTGAAATTAGATGAGGGATTTTCAGTCAATGATATGAAAATGGGATCAATCATGAATGGGACAAAGGTGATTTCTGAGAAGCTTTGCACATTAATGAATGCAGTCCACAATTCAAGACCACCGTTACCCTCCAAAGGAGAGGTCAACCTACAAGGTTAACTCGACTGTAAAGTATGTCACAGCAAAAATCTGACTTACATCAGGAAATTTATCATGAACGAAATTTCCTCAATGACTATAATCTAAATTAAATTTCTTTAGGACTTGTGTTAAGCTGCAATAACTTTATAGGTTATATTTGTGTAGAAAATGACAAAACTGGGTTCACAAGCTTTCAACAGACAGTTTCTTTGGGGATATAAATTGTGCATCTGACATGTGTAAGACAAGTACTGATGTAGGAACTCTCATCCCCTGCACCTTCCCGCTCATCCTCCAGCTCGGAGAGACGTTAAACCGTCAGTTCGAAGCCGTGTGTGGGACCATGTTCGGGGAGGTGGAGTCTCAAGCTGTCGAAGCCCTGGATCTTCCAGGAGTGTTCCGCACTCGCAGCCACAGCTACGTTCGCGCCATCCAGGCCGGATGTTCCCAGGATGACGACTGTCTCTCCGTCTTCTCCATGTCTGGCCCCCAGGGAAGCATCAAGGGCGGGGCCGGTGAGTGTGCGGTTTGAGTCCACCAGTATGCAAAAGTCTGGGGTGTCTCTGTGGAGCGTTTGGATGCGCGGCTGCCTTTTATGTGGCAGCAGCGCGGCAGGAGACACAGTGGGAGATGAAACTTTATGACAGGCTGTGTGCATTTACGTTGACAAAAGCAAATTCACGCACACACGTGCACACACACTCGTTGCACAGCTGCATCCATTTTTAATATACAGCCTTTTCTTGTCTTCGCTATTCTTTCAACCTCTAATGAGCTGTTTTTTACCCCTCTCCTCTGTGTTTGTGCCTACATATGCATGCTATAGGCTCAGCTGTGTGTGTGTGTGTGTGTGTGTGTGTGTGTGTGTGTGTATTACATTTGTGCATGCTCTTTGTTCTCTGCCATCTCTGCCTTGCCTTTGTATCTCATCTCTCTCCGATCACCCTCCCCTGTCTGATTGCAGGTTTCACAGGCTCAGAAATAGGTACAGGAACCCATGTGATTATGATGATAGCTCAGTGTCTCCAGCTTTTTGTCTCTGTCTTTTGGTTTCACTCTTGATGATGTTTGCTTTGACAAGTCTTCTCAATAATGCTTAAGCCTAATATTGGGCTGTTTTTATTTGCCACAAAATCCATCCAGTGTTTCCTAAAGCCTCTGTGAAGTGTTATCCACTTTCAGCACAGACCCCTCCCTGGTACACCAAGTCACACAGCAACACTGCGTATGCACACAGGGTGGTTACAGCTTTGGAGTGAGCATCTCTGCACTCTGAAAATAAACTCTGTTCAAATATATATTTAAAGAAACTGTGAGTGATGTCTTTCTTAAATATTGCTCTCAGGAAAATGCTCTGTCTTCTTAACTCATTCACTGCAATTGACGTCTATAGACGTCAATTACGTTTTTCAATGGGAGGGGCTAGAATACAACCTCGGGCAGCTTGTCAGTGAACATCAGACTGCTTGAAATGTATTTTTCACAAAAAGCTCGTTTTCTCCCTTTTTGTGGTCAAAACAGGCATTTTTGGTGGAACCCACCTCTCTTCTACAGCTGATTACTAAAGAATGGAAAATGGTAGAAACAAGCTTTTTTTTTGGATGAAAGAAGAGAGTCTGTTCTTCATTTTGGTAGGTTCAGCGTTTATATGATCATAACACACAGTTTTCTGTGGCTCTTCATAAATGAGTAAAAATGGCAGTGAATGAGTTAAGAGTTAAATTAGCTGCGGGGAAGAGGTTTTTGTTTCGCTATCATGTCTGTCTTTTCCAGCGCATCCCTCCCTGCCACTCACTGAAATTTATACTAAAAGCTGTTTTTTAATGAAAAGAAGTTGGACTTTTGTGTGTTTCCTCTTCCATCTTACACTGGCTGTAATTCTTAATGGCTTTATCGTTGTTCTCTCCTCCTTTCCATGTTTGTTTGCCTCTTTATGTCAACCGCTTTCCTATTTTTTTCACTCCTTAACTTTCCTGTCACATTCTCCTTCCAGTCTGTCCCTTTTGTAAGTATCCACCTCCCCCGCTCCCTGTTGATATATTACCCATTTTGCTTTTAACAGCCCACTGTGCCTTTGTCTTCCTTTTCCCCTGCTCTTCTGACACTTCAGTCTTTCCTTATCGTAAAGGTGCTCCTCCTCCACTCCCACCCCGCATGTCAAAGTCTTCACTTTCGGTGCGAGCCCAGAGCAGCACAGAGTCCACCCAGGATGCCTACTTCCAGAGCAGCGGGCAGTTGGTCTCAAGCTCCGGTCCCGGACGCCCCAAGCAGCACAGCAACTCCGTGGACCTGGGTAACTCTGACGGGCCATCGGGCCGCACCTCCAGAGGAGGCTACTACACTGGCAGCGGACCCGGGCGTTCCCGACAGCACAGCAACTCCGCAGAGAGCCTGGACGGGGTTCGGGGCTCAAGAGAGCTGGTGCCCTATGGAGGGGGTCCTGGAGTCGGGGTGAGAGCCAAACACAGCAGCTCAGCTGACAGCCTTCTGGAGGGTCCGCCAAGGCCAGCAAGAGAGAGGGATGGCAGAGTGGGAGGCAGTCTGGGGAAATCAGCCTCTCTGCCTCAGAACAGCATCATGCTGAGTAAAGCTGGAGGGCAGGACGAAGGGCGTGCTGTCAGAAAGTGGAGGCCATCCATAGCTGTGCAGGTGAGAGGAAAACAAAAAAATATGCCTTTTATTTTCATTTATTTAGATTAGGCTCTCTAAAAGATGATAGAAAATAATCAAAGGAGCTTGCAAAGAAAGCGTCTGGACTTCTTTAAGTTGCTTGAAGACGTTTCACCTCTCATCCGAGAAGCTTCTTCAGTTCTAAGGTCAAATGGTGGAGAGTCCCAGATATAAACCTAGTGGGAGTAACCCCCCACAGAGGGACAAAAGGACCCCCTGATGATCCTCTAATCGCCTGAGCCAAGGTGGGAAACTGGGCGTGGGTCCCAATCAGCCAGAGTTTCGGGTGTGTTCATTGTGAAACCTGGCTCCACCTTATCATGCGAATTCCTGAGGTCAGATGGCCCAGGATGTGAGTGGGCGTTAAGGCGTCTGGGAAGGGATCTCAAAACTTGATTATAGATGGCAGAGAGTTGGTGTCGTAAACCCCCGCCTCTGTTCAAAGATGGTCGCTCACAGTGGACATAGATGGATTCTTTGCAAGCTCCTTTGACTACGATGACCTGGATGACTGAGAACCTTCACAGACATATAGAAAAATAATGAAAACTGCAAGTCTTCAAATTGCTTGTTTTGGTTAAACTGTATCCTTTATCCACAAATCCAAACTTGATTTGCAGTGATACGAACTTCAGAAAGCACCAAATCCTCACGTGTACCGAGCCCGAACAAGCAGATGCTTGGAATCTCTGATGAAGGCGCAGTAGTTTGCACAGTTAAAGGCTGTGAACTAATCACTGCACTCCAGCCCCCTCAGTTCTTCCCGAGGATGTTTGGTTTTTTGGCTTGGTGAATAACTTTACAGGCAAGCTTTACAGATGCTAATTTTCAACTCAGCTAAGCCAAGAGAAAAATGGTTTCAGCACCAATCGAAATACAGTCCATTTACACAAAGAACATGCATAATCCCTCAGCGTTAGTAGCTGCAAACCATTTTCTGCTCCATGTGAAGACTTTGTCGAGTTTTCCTGCGATCTAGGTGCAAAGCTTAGCTATTCAAAAGGCTATAGATCCATAATTAGCATACAAGCTTGGGAGTGGCATCAATATTCTGCTATAGAGCTATACTTTTATTAAATAGGGACATTCATCTCTGACATGTCTTCAGAGATGGTTAGTTATTTTTTAAGTCCCCTCTAAATGAATGAACAGAGCCTTAACACTAGTTGTCATACAGTAGTCACATGGACATAAAAATGGCCTGAAAAGAATCACCAGTCAAACCTAATTAACCTCAAAAGTCAAATAGCTTAAGTACTATTTCTACTACACAGTAGTATCCCATTATTATGATGTCATTACTAGCTCAATCCAGGATTGTAACACGATCGGTGTGTCTGGTCATCCTGTCAGAGCTCTCAATAAATGCTCTTATAAACTCTCAGGCATGGAATTGTGTCCTCCTGAGAATCAGCCTATCTACCCTACTAAGTCATGATGTACTAAATAAAGGACATCCTGGACTTTCCATTGATATCTCATGTGTTTGGGTTGCCTCTTTTAACACCAAAGAGGAAGGAAATCACAAATAAAGTTCAATGGGAAGATTCTTTTTTCTTGGTTCTTAGGAGGATATGAATGCAGATGAAACGGTTTTGAACCTCTGCTGTTCACATGCATCCATGCAACACAATGACTGCATTATATAGTCCCTGTATGTTCAGCAGGGCAGGTGAGGTTTCCGATTTCATTCTCTCCACTCTGACTGTGGTGCTCGTGTCCTCCTCTGCTGCAGGTGGATAGCTCAGAGACCCTTTCAGATTCCGACACGGAGGGCAAAGCTCTGACCGAGGTCCACTCTGTAGGAGTCCAAGTGGAAGACGACAAAAGGTACCAGGAAAGTAAAAATCAAAGAAAAACTACTCATCTTTGAAATCCAGTCTAAACATGAGCTGTTTATTTTGCCTGACATTTAAGCTGCTTTCATTATAAAAAGAAACAAACTTGCAAAATAAGACGTGTTTGTTTATCTCGCTAATTTATCTTTGCTCCAAAATATGTAGCTTCATCAAGAACTTTTGGTCTTTGCACAGTAATTTATGTGAATAATTTTCATTTACAATTTGAAAAAAAAGCCTTCATCTCCTGAGCGCCCAACAGAGCAGCCACCTATGGTTGATTTCTAGGCTAGATCCTATTATTTCATTTAACATTTCATCAGAGATCACAGCTTGAACTCGGCAACACTTTCTTCCAAGAATGTCTTGTTTTTCAGCCATTAGTGAGTGTAACCATGACTACTGCAAATCATACACTCTACATGACTTTCGCACGTGACTCAACCCATCTCCTAATTATATCCAGCTTTGCCTGCAGGTCAGATTTGCACGCATGCATGCAAACACTCGTAGCATCGCATACTTCCAAACCCCCGAGCGGTTTGTGATCATGCATCCCTTAACAACGTCCCCCCCGTCCCCCCCGTCCCCCCACGCCCGTCACACCTGCTCGTCGAGCGCGACAGCGTGACATCTCAGAAAACAGCAGACTGATAACGGAAATCTGAGTCACCCCTCATCAGACAGGAAAGAAGGGTGAGGAGGAGGTGGGGTATAAACTTGTAATAGAGTTAACGATCATCGCCCAGTCCACCGACGTGACATTTTGCCCACACTGGTGCGTCATATGCCAGAGGATTTAGCAGGTCTTATCATAACCAAGTGAGTAGTAGTGAGTGCAGTGACATGGCAGCCTTACTCAAAGAAGAACGTGCAGTTAACAGAAGCCAAAATAATAGCACAATAAGAAAGCATTTGCATATAGTTCTCTGTGTGACTCGATTTCTCTGGGACTGCATTGACTCCCTGTCCTGCAGGAGAGCTCGTTTCAAGCGCTCCAACAGCGTGACGGCGAGCGTGCAGGCCGACCTGGACCCCGAGGGCTTCCCGGGATTGAGCATCGCTGTGCCGATGCAGGACAAAAGTCTCCAGTTTGGCTGCTCCTTCCAAAGGCACTCGTCTGAGCCCGAGTCCGCCAGCCAGTATACAGAGTGCCATCGCACCGTCCACACACAGGGACAGTGGGCCTACAAAGAGGTAGCAGTGAGCAATTCTCCTGTAGGATCACAGGCAGCTGTTGAAGTTTTACAGAAACAATCAAATACAAAAATGTTTTAGCTTCATTGATCTCTGAAGGAAAACTTTTGCCACTTTCACTTTAATGCTCCTCTGGGCTTCATTTAGACATAGTAAATGACAAAGTCCTTATATGTGCATGATTATTTTGATAGTGGCAACACTGACAGCAGGTTGTGGGGACACCCAACATGTTTGCATGTCCTCGGGTTAATGGATAGAAATTCATGGTGTAATCGGTGTTTAATTAACTTGCAATCTTACAATAAAAGACATTTTCTTCCTTATACAACATCTGAAAATCAACATTTTTTCTGAATATTTTGCAATCTGAACTACTCATTTGCTGGGAGACCTGACAGATCAGCCTTGGGGCTGAGAGTAATATAGACAGAAACAGCTGAAGACACCTGGAGGCAGGTTTTCTCTAGTCTTGTTAGATTTTATCTTGTCAAGGCTGAAATGTAATTTGCTCAAATACTGTATTTAGGTACAGCACTGAGGTATCAGTACTGCACTTTCATCATTTTCCCCCTGTATAACACTTTATAGTTCCACTCATTTCTGAGGAAAGAGTTTGACAGCTTTAATTACTATGATTTATACATACAAAACATTAACATTAGTATATTAACATTAGCTGTCAGGTAACTTTCTTGGTTATTAGCTTGGCTAATGTTGCTGGAAGAGTACCCTGGGTCTTCTAGATTGCACTTGTCAGCTTCCCTGCCTTTAGGAGGATATCTTTTTCTCACTGGTACTGTCTGTAAAGTAAAAGCTTTAAATAGCAATGGAAGTGAAGCTGGCCGTGAGTGTGTCCTTGTGTATTTGCATGGCAGAAGGATTTGCTTAAAAACTAATTATTCAGTAGTGCTATTCATGATTAAATATAAAAATATCATTGGGTATATTTAAACTGGATCAAAAGTGGAGTCCACACTGCACATTTGTGGCATTAATACTAGTATAAATAGTGGCTGAGGTTCAGCAGTGGTTCGAAAACAGGCTTTTTTGTTCTTATGTTATCCCAGGACTTTATCCAGACTGGCTACACCACTGAGGCCTGTCAAGCTGACACACGGCCCCACCAGCAACCGCACCTGCCTCCACGTTCCCACTCTCCTCTCCCCATTACCTCTGAGCGAGCTTGGGCGGGGACACCGTCCCTAGAGGGTCCCCGGAGCCTGCCCGACTCGGGCCGAGCCTCTCCCTGCATGAGAGATGGAGAGTTCTTCTTACGCCTCCTGCAGACAGAGGTGGAGAGGATGGAGGGCTGGTGCCAGAACATGGAGAGAGAAGCAGAGGAGAACGAACTTCCGGAGGAGAGTGAGTGAGAGAGGACGACTCGAGATGAAGATTAACAATGAATAATTCTTGGGTTTCTCAAACTACGTGTGTGCTCTTTCCCACCTAGTTCTTGAACTGATTCGAAACGCAGTTGGCAGTGCCCAGATGCTCATGTCTCAGAAAGTCCAGCAGTTCTTCCGCCTCTGCCAACAGAGTGTGGTGAGTATGTGTGATTGCATGCGAAATCATGACATTACATATGGCGCATGATTTTTGCCGTGATTCGCTAAAGGGCTAGATTTGCTCGGCTGCAAACACTTCACCGGTGAAATTAGTCTGTAAATCCCCATGTAATGCTTTACTTGTTAAGTCCTGTCTCCCCCCGCACACCCAGGACCCATCAGCCTACCCTCAGCCCACGTCTCAGGACCTGGCTGCCTTCTGGGACCTGCTCCAGCTCAATATAGAGGACGTCAGGGTCAAGTTTCAGGATCTCCAGAGGCTCAAGGACTCTGGTTGGAGGCTCCCGCCTGAAAAGAAGGTGAGAGACCCGGGGGTCCAAACCACCCTGGTTTCCCTTCAGCACTCCCCCAGAGCTAAGATGGCAGTGTGCAGGCGAGTAGCGCAGATGGTTGTGCCCTCCAAGCCTTTTCAGGCTGTGAAAATACAGAACAGCAAGAGGAACTGAGCTGAGCTGAGCTGCCCACAAGACTGTGAAATCCAAAATGTGCTAGACGTCTTTTGCATTTAATGCAGCGTATTACATTATTTTCTATATAGGTTTGGCTACTCACTGATCAACATTATTCAGTCAACAACAAACTAACAATTGTTTCTCTTTTCTTCTTTTTCTTTGTGCATTACCTCTGTTTACCTTCTCCCATTTCATTGCCTTTTACTTCACCCAATGCCAACGCATGCTGAGATGTTTTTTTGCTGATTTTATGTGCTTTGTCGTTATGTTTCGGTCCGTGATTCTTCCTCACTTGAATTTTTGCCCTTTATGTTGGATTTTCTTACCTTTTTGTTGGGTTTTCATCCTCCCTCTATCTCCTCTTGTTTTTGCATGGGATTCCTTCTACACAACCATACAAAACCATATTTTTTCCCCCCTCTCGGTTAATCCACTGCCTGTTCACCTGATCACCACGACTGGGCTAGGAGGACAAGAAGCTTCCTCCACCCTTACCAAAGAAGCCAGCAGGTGGGGTGAGTGGCAGCCTCCGGGCTGATAGCGTTGGGGATGGGGTTGCTGGAGGTGGAGGAGGAGGTGGGTCAGGGGGCCTGGTGGTGCCTCGCGTCGGTGGGCACACCCTGCCCATCAGGGAGAAGTCAATGGACCTCGGGGACCGTCAGAGGACAGAAGCGAGGAGGCGGCTGCTGCAGACCCGGCGCACTGCCTCCTTCAGGCAGAATTCGGCAACAGAGAGCGCCGACAGTATCGAGATCTACATCCCCGAAGCCCAGACTCGACTCTGAACACCGAGCTGAGGTGTTTCCCTCCCACCTTCTCACCCACCCTCACCCCCTGCAAAGCTGGCCAATCTCAGTCTGTCTCCGAGCCCAGTTTTGGATCCGCACGCTGTTAATGCGCTACTCCCCTCTAGCATTTCCATCGAAATCAGTTATCATACTCATTAAACAAGCAATGACAGCCATCGTAGTGTCTTGAAATTTGGATATTTTACAGACACAGAGGCCTAAACGTGGAATGGTAGCTAGCTAGCAGACATTTTTAAGTCTTTTTTTTGTTTTGTTTTTGATTAATATTATGGCTGAAGACAAACAGCAGTCCACTTTTATAACCAACCGAGGTTCACGCAGTAGTAGCATGCCTGTGCGTGTTTACCGAGCACATCTCCATCACTGAAAAATCAAGGGCTTAACAGATACAAGAACTCATACAGAATCTCCCTGTATGGATGCCGTGTGCAGTAAAACCTCATCCTTCTTTGTGAGGTTTCTTAATCACATACAAGATGTGTCCATTCGCTTGACTGATGCTACCGGTGTGGATGAACAAACATGGATGAATTGAGCATCGGTTCTAATGCCCTTAAAGTCAGATGGCTGGCAAACCCCAAAGAACATCCCTCCCAGTCGTTGTCAGCCAACTACAGCTTGCACCTTTCACCCAGGTGCCATCTGTCCCCGGCAGCACTCAGTCAGAGAGTATGAAATCACTTTAAGTTTCTCTCTTTCGTTCCTCAAATCCCGTGTTTTCGTTTGACTACCCTCAGCATTCAGCAGTCAGGCTGTTTGAACGGGCAAGTGCTATTTGTACATAGAGTGCACAGTCATGTTTGCCAGAAGGAGCTTTTGCAGTGTAGCATCACAGCCTTGATGGCTAGAGAGCACTGCAGACATAAAATAAATAAAAAACTAGGGGAGAGAAGCTGTTTGCTTCTTATGTAGTCCTTCTGAAGTTTCAAGCGTTCAGGGGTGGGGTTTCTGTGAGCTTTTAGAGGAGAATATATTTTCCAAGGCTATACAGGACTCTGCTGAGAAAGCCCCCTTTTTCACTGTGAGACTATAGCACCACCAAGTGGTTAAATGAGGACCCAAACTAATAACAATGGTCTGTAGGAAGTTCTCGCCACTTCAGTCAGGAATTAACAGACACCCCAATGAAACAGCCATGACGGAAGATGGGGGGTTTTTGGGTGGGGTGGGGCTCTTTTTGTTGTTGTTTTTCGTGCTTTTTTGCACTTAATCAGTGCTTTCCCTGGCGCGCAGTGCATTTTCTCTTCTCTTAGAAATTGTTTCAGTGGATTTCCCCCTACTGCTTAATTAAGAGGGCAGCAGATCGCAAAATAAAAGAACCGTCAAAGTCTTCAGCAGAATCTGCTTGCCTAACTCGAAGTGCCGTCCTCTCAATCACACAGAGCCCTGATTACAAAGAAGGGATGATTTCTCTGAAGGGAAGTAAACAAAAAAGAGTGGTATTCAGTGAACAGCAGTGGCCTACGAAACCTCCCCAAAGAGACATCAAACACAGGAAACCGCCGAGCTGCCAGACAGAGTCTGGCAACTGTGGTGAAATTAGCTAATACTTGATTGAGTGGACGTGTGCGTGCTTTGTTTCTCGTTATTGACTTCCTGAAATTCTCTTCTCTGTGGTCTCCGCTCTGAAAAGTGTAGCACGATTTGAAGAGTTTTTGAAGGGGGCCTCATTTGCAAATCTACTTCATAACAGATATTTCTGATACAAGTGTTTTGTATGGATGTTGCACAGAAAAATGGCATGTGTGTGTGAATGCACTGGAATTAATGCTTACACAGGGCTGCGAGTCACAAGGGACATGTGACGAAGCCCGGCGAATACTAAAAAGTCCAAATCTGCCATTTTGACGATAGAAAAAAAACCAAACCCACACACACTTAAATTTGAAAAATCTTTTAGCATGACCTGTTTTTTCTTTTTTTCTAATATTTGGATGGAATGTGTTGGAAAAATGGGATATTTTATTGGGAGATGTATATTTTATAATATAATCCACATTTCTAGATTAGTAGAGATTATTGAGTACAGTATATGTACGAATTTAAAAAAAGCATATATCAAATGTGAAATTCTACAGTATTATTATGATAGATTATAGCATTGTGTGATACTACAGTTGTGTGGCATATCCAGACTCAGTACATGTGAAAAAGAATCTCAAATGAATATTATTATCTTCAGTGTGTGAGTCAGGTTCACAGGGTATAACTGGCAAGAGTGTTAATTGCCAAGTGTGAGCCTCCTTAGGCCTACTGTATATCTTCTTCTGTGGTTCTAATGACATATACTGCTGTATCCCCTTCCTGTATTTCCTCTTTAGAGCCAACTACATGTGCCTAACCAGCTATATGTGGAGGTTTCCTTTGAACACAGTTTACAGTATATAAAGAAATGTAAATAGAAAAGTATAAAATATACAGAGAATATTGTTAAAGAAACTCTTTTTACTGTACTGACACACCATCTTTGATCTCCCCCACTTTCACTTGCAATACCCACACAAGACTGGCAAATTCTATTGATGTTAATACTGCATGCTTTATTACAGCTTCCTTTAGCAGAATCTAATGGGATTTGTTTTTTTGACCGATAAAAGGAAAGCACTTTTTGTAGCCTTTTTTTGTGATTTCAAACAAAAACAAATTGGTAGGATTTTACACTGTCTTTGTACAACGATCACATCCTCGGAGGACACTGATGTCGATGTCCTTGAAAACCGCAATCGATGTTTCGGTTCGACTCCGAGGCGATGCGCTTAACAGCCTCCATGTGAAACGGCCGATTTTATGTTTAATTCATTTGAAGGCGTGCGGTTCAGAGAGCGGCCTTTTTATCCCCATGATCCTCTCTCCCTGAAACTTGACAACATTTCAGCTGCGTTTTTGACCCAGCCCTCATGAAACAAAGCACAAAGACCTGCTTTATTACTGTAACTCCACTGTGAAGGACTCTTGACTCCACCCTCGCAATCCTCAAAGCTACATTCAGAGGGATGGCAAGGTCTTTCCATTATGAGTTGGCCTCGAGGGGCTCCAGGAATCTTTAAAGGCTTTGTTGGATATTTATCCACAGTAGCAACAACTACTCCTACTACTTTGTCTTCAGTTCTCGCTGACATTCTCCTCTATTGTTTATCATAATTTGAGGTGTTAGCCAGCCACCTTGCCTTGTGATAACAGGTCCACTGAAAACACACTTCTGGTGGTTGTGATTTCCATTCGTTGTTCGATATCTGCACAGTACACTGGAGTTGTACAAACATGACCTGACCACTCACCGACACAACAGACAGACTGCTATATGAACCTTTTCACCTCTTTCTGTAAGTGCAAAAACCCCACGTGGACAGCCAGATGGATAAGCCAACTCTCAGTACCTCAGTTTCTAGCAGCAGTGTCTCCAATCCCCAACCCAGGCCTCTGTCCTCAGGGGATTCTCAACCAACAGACCCTGAACATACAGCGTCAGACCAGCCCTGCAGGAATGTTGTTAATATTCTCTGAAAGTGTGGAAATCACACGTCATTTGAGCCCAGATTCTCTTTCAGCCATTCTCCGAGACTGGAAAGCGCAGCGCGGTAACGTGCAGGTGCTGGCGATGGAGGCGATCGTAGCCGATGTGCTACGTGTGTGCATTTGCTGTGTGCTGTGCATCTGCAACAGACTGAAGGTGTAGGGGTGTAGTAGCAGCAGATTTGAGTTTTAATTTTACATTTCTGTGAGACAGAGCTGCTCTGGAGGAAAAAGCTAAGTCACTGAATTAACCCTCATTACGAGAAGCAGAGGGGGCAATTTTCTAAAAACATTTCGTTTGTGTCATTATTCTCAGCAATATTTAAAGGTGATCAAATGTGTGAAAAAAAACTTTTTCAGACAATTATCAGCATTTGAATACTTTTAACCAACAGCAATAGGAAATATTTGCTTAGCATTAGCAGTGCTAGGATAAGATCAGTGTGGAGAGATATGGAGGCTGTAACATTATTCAAACTCATACATCAAACTTAGCTTATTTAAAGAGGTGGGGGTTAATATATGTTTCCATGTTTTGGTCCTATATAAACTGTTACAGTGGTAAAAGGCTATACAAAACAAAAACTGAAATAAGCACTGGTTTCTGATGGTTTTTCTGTTCTTGGCTCCGTAGGATATAGAAGACATCAGGTATCAATATGGCCATCTCAGGTGCACAGCTCATGGCTGTGAGCACAGAAGCCCCACCCACCTTCAGTTCAACCCTTCTGTTTGCGAGAAAAGGCCAGTCAGAGGAAAGTTGGTTTATAGGAATTTGAAGCTGAAACAAATGAGCAGACAGGTTGTATCAAGACCCAATATATCATCAAAAGATCAAAGCTCTACTAGTAGAACTAAAATAAACACATTTATTACATACAGAATTGTTTTTCAAATGTATATGTGGATCCAGCCTACTGAGACTGCTAGCAGTTACATATAAGCGTGCTGGATTGCATCAATTCTTCTCACGTACTCGTGTTTAGCTGGAAATTTAAGTTCAGACTAAGGAATTAACAGAGGTGATTACAGTCTTAATACACTGAGTAACTATTCCTGAAAAGCTGAGTCCATATCTAATAAAAAAAAATGTTTGCACGCTTCCTTAAATGTTCTATGTTGCTTCCTTTCTGCCTCCAGAGCAGCTCAGTGCCAAGCAGATGTTTAACTGAAACTCCAATGTGCCTTTAGCACTGAGGTGTACTTCTGTATGTGTGCGTATTAGCACTGTAATGTCGCTTTACAGTAGACACGGTTAGCCATGCAGATCAGAGAAAACTGAGCAATTACTGTGTAATTAACAAAAATGATACCCTGCCACCGTCGTGTTTACAACAATGTAAATACCTGTTACCAACAGACGTTGCTCTTCTCAATATTGCACATATTGTTATTACGTCATGATTAAAATGGTTAATAATTGCCATCCCTTCCATTATTACAAACGGTGTTGTTAGTCACAGCCATGGGGTAAACATTGTTCTATATTCAAGGATGAGTCTTGTGTACAATAACAAAACAAAAAGAAAAGGTTTAATATCTAACGAGAAAGTAAATAAATCGCTGCTACTAAGGAGATGGAGTAGAGGAAGAGGAAACTGAAAATAACTCTGGGAAGATATTTTTCTCTGGGATCACGGATGGACACTCCCATGCGGGGTGAGATCACTGAGAGAAAAGTAAGCACTGAACAGGTGGAGCGAATAGAAGACCCAGACCTAAGACCTTCTTTCTCCGTGTGCTTTTACTCCACTCTGAACTCTTAGTGCTGCCACAACAGAGACGAAACACAGACTTCAAACTGATAAGACGCTCCACTCTCTGTGTTCTACTCTATAATGTAGCAAAAAACACAATAGCCCCCTCTTCTCCTTCTCTTTCATGTCTCACCACGATTTCTAAATCAGACGGGTTTGACACATTAAGCTTTTCTGTCTTTAAGCTCAGCTTTATTGTCGTGCTTACTTGTTTTATACACGTTCGATTCAGTGCCAAGACAGTATATTGTACAGTTAAATCATTAAATGCTTTTGTTTTGCTTTATTTGGGGGTTTTGGGTTTTTTTTTCATCCTATAAAGAAAAAGAATTGACCGGAGCATATAGCAATAGAGATGCCATAAAATATGAACTTTCACATTGCCACCAGTGAGTACACAACGTGCATGAACACAGCGATCCGAAGACGTGCTGGACGGCGGTGGAGGACGATGCCCGGTGTACATCCTGATTCTGTTTCTTGTGTTGTGCTTCTCATTTTGTACATACAAATTGATTTTCTGGATTTCATAATGACTCATGGGTCTGGATGTGTCGAAAGGAGCACGCCTGACAGCGCTGAAAGCCCAGAGAGATGGCACACTGTGACGTGGTTTACCCCAACACAGAATGTAACACTGTCAACGTTGTCGAAACATTTTCTAATGGCTAATATTATTACTATTAATATGATTATTATAAAGCTATTTTAGCGAGGTAAATGAGTGGGTGCTGCGTCTTCTTTGTGTGTGTTGATTTTTCTGATTGACCAAATAAGTAGGTGAGAATATATAAAGTGCATGTCACCCTAATCATATTTCATCGGCCTCGGCCTCACCTGCTTCAAGCCAGCAATGAAAGACAGGAAACAGTCTTCTGACTTAAATGGATCTGCTAGGATTACAGGATAAGATTGATGCAACTCATCCAAAAAATCGAAATGTGAAAATGACATTGTGCCTTACGGGCAATTATGACATGGTCTTGACCTTCGCAGTTGCCATGCAACCAGGGGCGGATCTAGAGAAATTTTCTTATGGTGGCAAAGAAATCAAATGGGGTGGCAAAATCAAAGCCTTTTTTTTTTTCAAACACATGTGCAGGTGGTTACATATGGTTAAAATAATTCAAATGCAGTAAGTATACACATTTTTCATATAAATATAGTCTATAACTTGATTATTGTCTGTAGCCCACATAATTACACACTTTAGTTACATAAAACATGTGAGTTTTGATCTTATGTACTGTATAGCCTGTATAATAAATAAATATGTAGCCCAATAACTATAAAACCCAGAAAGCTACACAACATGGGGCGGTTCATTTACAAACACAAGTCTAACTTACATTTCACACTGTTTTTTGTTAGAAAACAATCACATTGTTACAGCTTAAATTACACAAAATGTCAGAAATCTGCACTGTTATGAACAAAAATTTAAATCTAATTTTTCACGATTTGTTGGATGAACCCACTGAGGTCTGAAATACAACCGGCCATTTTTGACTCCTTTTGAGTTTACGTTTGTATTTCACCCTCAAATTGTTTCATTTTATTTTTTCCCCTTGCCTTGTTTGGTATCTTTCTTTTCAGCTCAACTGAATTTAGTTGTTTTTTTCACTGACATACTGCATTAGTATTACTGATCTGAAATCACACAAAGAACTTAAAATCCTAGTAGTATTTCTTTACTGTAAAAAAACCACAGACATGTGGAGTAAATTTTTATAACTTGAAATGCAAATATAAATTGTACATTTTGTAAACATATACAACAATTTGCAGCCAATAGACCTGACGTTTTTTTTTTTCATTTTGTACAACCATTTAAAAATATTAACTAAAAAACTAAAATGAGAGAACAATCAGGTGTTGCAATAAGATGCCCCACAAATGTTGTGTGCCAGTAAAAACAGGAGAACAGCACAGGGATAAACCTGCAGGCCTGACAACAGGAGGTGTATCACTCCGCTGGTTTTCTACTTAGTGACAGTGTTTACCTTGCAAATGTGTCTCTGTGACATTAATTAGTGCCCTCACTGACACACAAAACAAAACGACTACACAACAGAACAACTACACAAGACAACACAACACACTTATATACTCCACACTAAACGTCACAAATCTCCCACATCTAAAAACTCTCTCGTTCTCTCTGTCTCGCTCTGTCTCGCTGCGTGGCTGCAGCCTGTTTCTATGTCAGCTTACATCAGTCATGTGATTTGGAGGTGCAGCGTGTCCGTGGACCACAGAGGGTTAATAACACTCACCTTCCTTCCATTTCCAGACTGTAACATCCAACCACCCATGGTGTTGTTCAAAATGTGCTCTGGCACAATCATAAACATCACTTATGATGAAAAAAGCCGGTCCTGCTATGGGCTGAACCATTTGTTAATGATGGAGGGGGGAAACACTATGCAATATATTCAGTTTTAGCATTTATATTAACTGTTGATTGTAACTACGCTCAAACTGTTAATGCTATCTTATTTTAATAAACAAAACTGTCATATGGAAAACTGGGGTGGCACTTGGGGTGGCAAGGGATCATCTTAGGGTGGCACTTTCCACCCCATGCCACCCTTCTAGATCCGCCACTGCATGCAACCAGTGGAGACTCCAAGTCACAGGCTGGTTTTGACATAAATAGTCTTTGACTCTTGGGTTATTCTGAAAGTCAGATGTCAGGAAGAGATCTGAATTTTTTTACTGAATAAATTTGTGCAGTTTGTGACTATTGTAAGCAGGGAACCAACCAACAAAACATGGGTGGGGGTGTCTAACTTCTGAAAATGTGTGTCTTATATGGGAAAACTCCCAAAGAACTTTAGCAACAACTTTTAAAAGAATCTAACATGAATACAAATGTGATAACAGGAGAATTAACCACCTAGGACCTGGCGTCCACATATGTGGACATCACATTTTGGGTTATTTAGACCAAAATACTCAATTTTGCTCTACAAGGGCCTGATATCCACTTACGAGGACAATATACTGCTACTGTTCTACAAATATCCTCATATGTGGCTCTCGTTTTCTTAGAAACAAAAATCAGGTAAAAAAAAAAAATCTGGTCATTCTTTGTTTTTACATTCATTGGGTCCCAATATGCCCAAATATCAAAGAGAAATCAAAAATGCATGACGTGGAAGAGTTCGGGTCTTAGGAGGATAAATTGCCACTAATATATTTATATTTATATATACTGTATGTAAAAGACAAATGAAGCCGAGTAGTTCTTGGATTTGATGCCCATCTTCGAAGCAACCACTGCAAGAGGAAGTTTACAAGTTCATTACCAGTGTTGGTCAAGTTACTTGAAAATAGTAATTAATTATTAGTTAGAAGTAATTACTGATTAATTATCCAAGAAAGTAATCTAGTTACTTTACTGATTACTTATTTTCAGAAGTAATTAGTTACTTTATTACTTAGTTACATGATAGACAACCTGAATACGTAATAAACAATAGACCTTTCAGCCCAATTCTATTTTTTCTGCATATTTGCAACTGCAACTTTATTCATCAAGCAAAAATTAAATTATATGCAACATTCTCTGACTTGAAGAAATTTGTTTAGCATTTAAACCTATTATCTGTATATTCCAGCATATAAAATAAAATGTTTTGTTTTTACATTCACTCTTTCAAATAGATGCAAGTAAAACACAGCAAAAAATAAATAAAATCAAAGATTCAGCGCCACTAAGTCCTATCATTCTCAGCAGGAGTGGGGCCCGGTGCCACAGCGGTCATGTCAGTGGGGGGGATCCGGGGGTTTCTCTATGAATTTCACATTCCTGTGGTGGCTTGGTAGATGCTTGTTCAGATTTGAAGTTTAATTTTTTGCTCTAGAAAGAAGTGTACAGCGGACACTAATGTTTTTGTCACTTTTTATGGAATAAAACTCAAAGTAATGTCAGTACATCCACGCTCTAAACGCTGCATGGTCGTACTCTCTCTCCCACACTCAATATTATCCTTGTTGATCTGCACACGTCTGTTGCTGCCACAGGTGTCGCACACTCTTACATCATTGTCATAAGAAACTCTCACAAACAAAATCACGGTTTAATAACGCAGTTACGCAGCGTGCTTATGGGAAAGTAACAGTAATCTAATTACTTTTTCGCAATATTAATCCCTTACTTTACTCGTTCCTTGAAAAAGTAATCTGATTACAGTAACACATTACTGCCCATCTCTGTTCATTACACACGGTCGCAATAGTCTCGGCAGTGATGTGATTTCCCTTTGTGGGACTAAGGTGAAGTGGAAATGGAATACATTTTCTGAGCTTTTTAGTAGTTTTAGATGTTTTAAAAAAACATTTTTTCATGATGAATATTTCAGATTAAACTCAAGAGTAAATCACTTTATAGATTCACATCTTTTTGCAGCATTGATGTATTAACCTCGACAACACACAGCTAAAATGCAAAGTAGAGGTCAATGATAAGGATTCTCCAAACCGATTTTCCATTTTTCTCACGTCTGTCACCGCCTGAAAGCATTTATAATAGAAATTCTAAGTAGACCAGATAAACCTATTAAGAAAGCCTAAAGGAGAGGACAAAAACAATTTAACGCATTCTCTGTCAAATGCTCAGTCCCTGTGGCCATTCACTTCTCAGTTAAGTGCAAAGTCAGACTGACACATTCAGGGGACATTTTTGTCAATTCGGACAGCCTAGGAATTAAAAGCAGTCAGTGGTTACTTATATATGAATACGGACCTCCTGTGGCACTTCAGGGGTTAGAACATCAATGCAGTCATCCATTAGTACAGATGTCATAACATTATCATGCCCCGCAGGTTTGTTACTGTCAACTGAGGCACTGATGTATTAAAAAGATTGGAGGATAAAAGTACCATTTATGCTTTAGCAAATGCTAAAATACCTGCTTGCTGACTGACTGCATTGGAAGCTTAATAATAACAGAACAATTAGAAGATGAATCAAGTTGTCTTTTATTCCACCAATTTCAAAAGGAGGCAAGTAGAAAAAAATAAGTGCTTTGTATATAATCTGCTCATTTTCAAAACAAACCGCAGGCATAATGAATCATTTCTGAAACGGCACTTAGCCGAGAAACTGCCAGAAAAGCTCCACAAGCTCAACAGCAGAATCCCGTTTTCATTCATAAACACTCTCTCATGACAAAACAAACACAACTGAGACAGTGACAGTAAATCTTTAAGCCTTCAGAGCGTCAAAGCGAAATCACACAAACTCATTACACCGGTATTTTCCCTTCAAGACAGACTAGAAGTTTCCCCATTAATCTAAAATCATTAAAACCTGAGTCGAGTCACTTGAAAATAATTCAACATTTTGGGCGTTTGTAGCTTACTGCAGCAGTCCAACCTTTTTTGCGCCACGGACCGGTTTATGCCCGACAATATTTTCACGGACCGGCCTTTAAGGTGTCACGGGAAAATACAACAAAATAAAACTAGTACCGGTACCGAAAAAAAAGAAGATTTATTCATAACACACATGAAAAGACCCAGGAAAACCGAGTTAACCATAAAAACGATAACAAAATAACGCTGAAAACAGATAAAAACCCTGAAAACCATACATTTCACACCTGAGCCTCTACTCTCGCAGCCCGGTACCAAACGACTCACGGACCAGTACCGGTCTGAGGCCCGGTACTGGTCGGGGACCGCTGGCTTACTGCACTAAGTCCAGTTCAAGCGTCCATGCCTGAGCAGGAGTGTAAGGCAGCTCTGGCAAAAGGACAACAAGGCCACCACCGGGGTTGACTGGGGCCCAAGATAAAGGTGTGGGATTCCCCACCAAGAACACCTGGGCAAGAGATAAAAGCAGATCAATAAAAATTTGTTCATGTTTTTCAACTCTGAGTACAAACATGGACAGCATTGTTTCTTTACCTGTGTGATGGCTGAAGCTTTGGGTGCCAGCAGTTTCACTGTGCTCATCGGGGGTTTGGCTGTTAGGATGGCATAGACTGTCAACCCCTTAGATGTATACCTAGAACAGTGAAGAGCATTACAGTTTTTTTTCTGCATACAAAAATACCAGCACCAAACAAAGGAAAAATCACCAGGACCAAGCAAGGTAACACAGACTCATTGCCTAACTAGATCAATACAGGCGATCATAGCAAGCTTTATTATGCACTTTACTCTGAAAATTCTCAGCTTCCCCACATCGAAACAAACACCATGCTATTTAACATACGTGTTGCCAAGTACAACAGTACACATCCTGTCTGTATCTCCCCGTAACCTGCATTAATCCTCAGAGACGATTAGCTCTCCCACTGCACTAAAACTTTCATACAGTTGACAGATTGTCGATAGACTCATCTTGAGAGTCAAGAAAATACAGTGAAAGTGAAATGATCTGAGTCACATCTCCCTTTTTTCTTACCAAACTGGTACAGTGGTGTTTTCTGACTGCACCCTCCAGGGTTTGGAAGAGTAAATGGCCTGCCCGTTGACCTCCAGCCAGTCTCCAAGACCTCTTAGCCTCTCCTCAAACAAAGGGGGGATCATCCCGTCAGGTGTGGGACCCACATTCAGAAGGTAGTTACCCCCAAAAGCCACAGTGCGGACCAGATCCTGCAACAAAGCAACAGCAGACACAAGAGGAAGCAGGCAATAAAACAGTGTTACATTCCAGATGAGCAAAAGATTACCATTATGGCCTAACCATCAGAAATAAACAGAACAAAAGGACAACACACTTGGCTTGGATTAATTGATTAAATACAGTCATTATGATTACAAAAGTATTTCCTGAAGGCTGCATGCACAAGCAAAGATTAAAGGTATTCTATAATAGCCATATACAAATAAAAACAACCTTAACTTTAAATGTAGAAGCTAATATCTGTGCTACTATCACCTCGATAATCGCAGCCAATGGCAAAAGTTCGTTCATCTTCATGTTTCGACGGTAACCCCAGGAAAGAGTATCCACAGATGTGCATTTCTCCCACTTGTGTGTGGGCAGCTGGCCCGGCGTGTACTTGTCCTCGCAGTTGTAGTAGCCGCCATGTTTACAGGCACAGCCAGCTCCCCATCGGTCATTAGTCACAACGGTATCCTAAGAAAAGGAAAGACAGGCAATCATGAGGACTACTTTTGCTACCTGCAGTTCAATACACCACAGCTAAAATCCAGGAAGCACAGGGGATGTCTGGTTTGCAGCATCTGAACTTTCAAAATAAAAGCAAGTGCACCATCTATGACTACCTTGTCATAAAGACACTCACTTTAACCGGGCTGTCGTTGTAGAGCCAGGCCAAGAATTCGGTAGAGTTCCAGTAGGTGTCAGGTGCTTCCCAGTCTCCGTCAGACCAGATGACTTCAGGTCGATACCTCCAAGGCAACAGTAGAGCAAAGGTTTAAATATACTGCTGGCATACATGTATAAAGTGCGATCAGCTGACGCAACATTTTAAGCACCACAGACCTTACAACCATGTTATAAAGCTCTGGAAGTAGTTTCTGCAGCACAAACTCCTGCGTTTTGAAGCCATTCTTCTTGTCAATGAGATAGAGAGGGTGGAACCACTCATACAAGGAATTGTAGAGTCCATAGTGCAGTGACCTAAAAGGGGAAATTACAGACATTTGTTTAAAAAGGCAATACGTGCAATTTAAATGACATTACTTGGGAACACATCTGATCTAACCAACTATTACAACTGATACACATGGCCGCAACATTTTTAATGATTAATCTTAACCCAACAATCACCTGGTGGTAAAGAAGTTTATGACAAGCAAGTTCCACAAATATGAAGCTTTAAAGCTTTTCTGCATCGTTAATGACACTCGACTGACACGTGAAGAGCTCTGTACAGGCTGATCGATGTGAAAATACAGGAAGCTCTGTAGGAGGAAGGCAGTGGGTTAAAACTGACTGGCCTTTTCTGCATACCAGTGTCAGCCCATCTGTCAACAATAACCACCTTTTTTTAGCATCGTAACTTAAGTTTTTCACCTGTTGCGCACTGCCTCTGCCAGGTCTCCCACCAGGTCTCTGTGAGGACCAGTATCAACAGAATTCCAGTTCCATGAGTTTGGAGACTCCCAGTTAGTAAACCCTTCGTGGTGTTTGGCAGTCAGGACCACATACCTGCATTGACGAGGGTGTGCAAGTAACACAGGGTACTGTGCAATAATAATAATAATAATAATAATAATAATAATAATAATAATAATAATAATAATGTGTGTACTGAGAGAAGGTGAGGGTCAAAAAGACGATACAATGTTACAGAGAAACACTCACTTTGCACCAGAAGCTTTGAAAATATCCGCCCACTCATCCGGATTGAAGAACTGCGCGTGAAACTGACGAGCAAACTCTGGGTAGGTGAAGCCTGGTGGGTAGTTCTGGGACATGTAGTTCACATATTTCTGGTCCGGGGGCTGCTGGCCCTGCCAGTGCCACCAGAACCACTCGCTGCCAAAGCCGGGCACAGAAAACACGCCCCAGTGGATGAAAATTCCCAGTTTGGCTTCGTCGTACCATGAGGGCAACGGCCTGGCGTCCAGGCTCGTCCAGTCCGGGGTGTAGTGAGCCGCAGTTTGAGAAACAAGAGCAACGACAACAACAAACACGGTTAGCATGATGACAGACAGGTGAGCTTCCCCGCAAACTGCAGCTGCTCGAATGAGGATGTTGAAGGAGGGTCACATTTACAGTTCCCCTGACTGTGTCCAGAAACGGAACAACACAAAGTATCACTGCACAAAGTCCAAATGTCCCACAGGCAGCTCGGTAATACGACGACGTTTTATATCCTTTCCGTTAAACTGTGCCAGTTTCATTTCCGTCATATGACTCGGAGTCACTATCACGTGGTTGAGTTTTTCTTGGGTTTTTTTTGTTACAACTTTATTGAAACCGATGCCAGAACAAACAGACACCTGCACATGTAAGAATAAAGAAATACGTAATTATTATACCTTGTCTGCTTTATAATCAGATTACTGTTATTTTACTTGGGTATTTGTGCAGTATTTTTTCTTGGTAATATTAAATCTTTTTTTTTAAATTAAAGAAATCTAAGAATATCTTGATTTATTCTTAATCAGGAAATTACAGAAAGGCAATTCTTTTATTTTTGTGTTATTTTTCTTCAGTAATTTTAATTTAATGTAATGTGTGTATATGTATTCATGTATTAATTTATTTAATGTTTTCATAAAAGGTGCTTTAAAAATAACGTTCTGGGCGAAGAGTTTTCAGTGGTCACTCCTCCAAGTGACTTCAGTCTCTGTCTGCAGCAACAATAACGGCTCATAACCATCATTAATTATCTTCAAATTGTTTTTGACCAGTGTGTACTGAAACCAGCAAAATGAATCAGTCGTGATCCATCATTATTCCTGTGTTCTCGATATGAGTGGTGCTGTATTGATGGCTCTAGTTTTGCAAAACACACACACACACAAAAAAAACAACAACAAATAAAAACAGGTCACGATCAAGATACCATTATAACCTATATTTTATAGACAGAACACCTGACAGATGTTAAGGTAAGGGACAAATAAAAGTATCCAACATCTGGAGGTAGATTTCTTTTAATGGTTTTGAAGATGACTGAATTATCTGAGGAAGATGTTCTCTGCACATCTGATTACAAAGAAATAAAAATCCTGATCTGGCCCCAAAACAAAGTGTGTCGTTTTGCAAGTCATAAAAACTTAATAATAAACTCGAGGAAACATATTTCTAAGGCATATTTTCTTTAACTTTCTTTAATTAATAACGAACTGCTCTACAGTGGACAGTTTTCTTTTGGAATACTGGGATGTCGAATGGGAATATTCCAGTTCTTTACTACTACATTCATGTCTCCAAGTCATTCTCGTTACTGCGCGCAAGCTCCGTCGTGGAGGACTCGATCTTTGGCTCCTGTTGCACCTCACACTTCATGTCCGTCGAGGTGTCCGTGTGTTCTTGGCCGGATGTGTACTCGGCTAAAGCTTCCAGCCCTGCCGCGATGAGGACGTCCTCTCCCTGCGTCTTGCGGCTGTAACCCAGCCTCTTCAGGGTCCGCCGGGCAGTTGCGAGTGAGATGGGCTTCTCCACCCCGCTTCTGTTGTACATGGCATGGATCTCCTCAATCGTAGCCTCGCTGTTGGCTTCCACCAGCCTTTCCAGTCTCTTCTCTCCGTTGTCATCCACGAGCCGCTTCCTTCCACACGGTCCCCGCTGACTGAAGGTTTTCTGCCTCTGGCACCATTCCCTGTAAACTCGAGACACCGCAGTCTTTGAAAAACCCAACAGGTTCACTGTTTGCGAGATGCTGAGCCCGCCGTCTCGGGCTCCCACTATCATACCCCGCTGAAACTCACTTAAATCCCGAGACTTGCCCATCATGGTGCACAAACGGTGAGAAGCGCTGCAGATAGAAATACTCATTCTACTTCGGTGGTTTTCGGTACATTAGGCTGGAATGAAGGCTTATTGTCGCCCTCCTGAGTTGCATTGGTGATTTTTCGATTTTTGCTCTTAAAATATGCATAAAGTCCCCCGGAAAATCAGCTATGCAGCCATACTACCACCAGGCCCACCACTAAAACTAACTCATGTGTTCATACACACACACTTAAGCTAAATCAGCAGAACTTTAAAAAGCTCATCAGACTCGTCCTGAATTAATGAGAGACAGTGATCACAAATTAATCCACTAATTCACAGGATGATTTTGTGACAAATCATCTCTCCCATTCAACATTATCATCTTCGTCAGAAAGGTGATTTATACTAGCTGTGACCTAGAGGATTCTGCAAATCGTCATCATTTTATGTCTGTATGCATTACCCAGCAACTTTTGCTGTGTAAGAGTTGTCTTTAAAAGTTATGTATTATTTCAGTTGCAACTCTGTATTTTTGTAGTTGTTTTGAGAACAAACTACACGTGGATAGGTAAAAACAGATGGTAAATGGTAAATATTTGTATAGCGCTTTACTTAGTCCCTATGGACCCCAAAGTGCTTTACACTACATTCAGTCAGCGTGTGAATGGGTAAAAGTATTAAATAAAATCGTCATCCATACTTTTATTTTCCCTTCCAGTTTTTCCTAAATGAAGCCACGTAAAACACCCTGAAAACTTTCACATGCTTACTGGGTCTAATTCCCTGTTTACAGCCTGCACTCCTATACTGTCACAGGTCATACTGTCCCATTTCCAGCTTTCCATTTATCTCTGAGATTCTGGAGCATGCCTTGCAGCATCACAGGTCCAGGCTTACTTAATTAATAATAACTTTAAGAGCCATTCAGACACAGCAGGAAAATAGCTTTTGTTTCACCAGGGACCTCATCCTTGCATCACATGCATATCCTTGACCTCAGTTCTGCTTTCGATTCCATCTGTCATCTTCTGTTATTACGACTGGCCAGCACTGGAATCAAGGACACAGCACTAAAATGGTTTACATCATACATGGCTGACAGAAAGCAATTTGTTCAAGGCTAGACTCCCCACTAAATATCGAGTGGCCCCTTTATACCCAAAAAACTTTCAGTATGCAAATGTGCTTTTTTCTTCCTTTTGGACAAAGCAAAATGTTTAAGTAAACACTGTCTGTCCTCTGCAAGCTCAGGAATCCCACGCTGACAGTCATGTTTTTCTTATGTACAAAATACACAGAAAATCATTTTCCTTTATTTCAGCTGTGCAATTATAGAAAATTCAGGAAAGAAAAGGCTACAGTGATGATTTAAAGCAACCATTCCTAAAGTTAAGCGTGCTGTGGTCTAACTTAGAAAACAGAAGATCCCATGGGACCCACCTAATTTTAAATCTTCACTCTAATCAACATACAAGAGAAAGTGATGCATTTCCTTGAGAATTTTATTCCAAAAAGATAAACAACACAGGGGATTGGCTATAAATCTCTAATGCAACACAGTCATATGCAAACTTCAATACAACAGCTGTAAATTTAAGTCAAAGTAATGAATAATATCACAAACTAACAACCTCCTGTTTGAATTCATTTTTATATAAATAAATACATTTAGATAAAGATGTAACTGTACACACTTGTGTGTAATCACCCTGATGGGAACTGCAGCTGTAACACAAACAGATTTGTGACAGCATCTTGCATAAGGGTGACGAAACTGTTCACAGACAAACATGCAAACATACGCCAAAGTACAACCCCACGAGTGGATGACTCCAGATGGCAGGTTGGGGGGAAAAAGTGTTTAATGTTAAACTCCAGGTTGATTAACTTTTGTTTTCAGTTCCAGGGACAGTAATCAGAGTTAGCTCGATCAGCTGTGTGTAAGGACGGATTGAAGAGGTGCTGTGGTTGAGTTCTGTAAATTGTTATGAATGAAAAGCAAACAAACAAGAAAGACCACTTAAAATATTTTTATTATAGCAAACTTCCCTGATATGCTACCTCAGGGTGCTCACGTTACAGCTGCAGTGAACAAACTGGGTTGTGGATTACCTCAGTCCAAGTTTAATCTAAGTTAAGTAAGTTGAAATGCAATAAAGCACACGGCTCCTTCTGATTTATTAGACCTTTGAACGCTTTAAATAAATAGCACCACTTTAAATCATATTTGGCATTTGCAGAGACTTTTCCCATAAGCCACTGCTTACCGGTATATTAATTTTTACAGTTGACTGAAATGGTGTTTGCTCTAGTAATGACAGTGCAAACCCTGACAGCGATCGCCTTATTTCAAATGTGAAAATGTCCATGGTTCAGGAGAGTTAACGTGCTTGGTTGAGACTGCAATAACAATGATTGATTAGAGCGATTGTTATAGTCTTCAAATTGTTTGTTGACCAGTGGGTACTTAAACAAGCAGAGTGAGTCATTTGTGATCCTTCCCTCATCCTGTACTCTCAGTATGAGTTGTTACCGACAGCCAGGTAGTTTAGACTTTAACAGCAAGAATCAAAACTCCTTTGTTCCTCTGTGGAGACTTTTAAAGGTTAGCCTAAAATGAGCTGAGGCTACACGGCACCCTGAGCGATGCCTGCTGTTAATAAATGTGTCTGTACCTGCTGGTGCTGTGTTTATGGGTCTAGTTTTCTACAGTCCAGATCAAATTTCACCATGAGGAAAATAAAGGATCTATCTTTAATATATTAATGGTTATTTTGGCGTTTTGAATTTTAAATTTTTTATTATAACATCCACGTTTCTGTTCCGTATAGACAGAATATCTGACAGCTGTTAAGATAAGGGTCCAACATCTGGATGCATTTTTCTTGTTAATGGTTTTGAAAGTGACTAAATTGGCTGAGGAAGATGTTGTTTGCACATGATTACACTGAAATAAAACTCCTGATCTGGCGAGAAAAACAAAGGTGGATATTTTGTAAGACATCGGAATAAACTGGGGGGGGGGGGGGGGGGTTAAATAACAGCTCTACAGTGGGCAACTCTGGAAATATCGCGACATCAGAATGGTTTAATCCAGTTCTTTACTACTACATTCATGTCTCCAAGTCATTCTCGTTACTGCGCGCAAGCTCCGTCGTGGAGGACTCGATCTTTGGCTCCTGTTGCACCTCACACTTCATGTCCGTCGAGGTGTCCGTGTGTTCTTGGCCGGATGTGTACTCGGCTAAAGCTTCCAGCCCTGCCGCGATGAGGACGTCCTCTCCCTGCGTCTTGCGGCTGTAACCCAGCCTCTTCAGGGTCCGCTGGGCAGTCCTCAGTGAGATGGGTTTCTCCACCCCACTGCTGTTGTACAAGGCATGGATCTCCTCAATCGTAGCCTGGTTGTTAGCCTCCACGATCCTTTCCAGTCTCTTCTCTCCGTTCTCGTCGACGAGCCGCTTCCTCCCGC